TCTAAACCAATATCAAACTTTAAAGTTATTGGTATTAAATGTAGAATTTGAATTGAAAAATTAGATTAAATAAAATATCATTTTATGAATGAATAAATTTAAATATCACATGTCTAATTATTATAAATAAGTAATGTTATTATTTAAAATATTAATTTAATCATCAAACATTTTAAAATAGAGACTCACTACCACATTATATACACTTCAAATTAAAATATCAAACATAATATTTTTGAATAAATTTATCACTTTACATAGGGGCATGCATTAGTCAATTTAGTTAGATTTAGTGTTAATTGATCAAAATTAATTAATCAAACTGGTCTAAATAGTTGGATTGAATCAAACCAAATATTACTTGATAACAAAAATTGACGTAAAATAATATGGTTTGACTTAATTCTTGACTCTTGTTCATTAGCATTAAATAATACTTTAACCTTATCTTAAAATAATTTCATTATTTTAAAGTTATAATTTAACCATAAAATATATTAAATGAAAACTCATTATATTATTTTATATATTCATTATAAAATTACAATAATACAACAAAATTAACATCTTAAAATGTTAAATATTATCTTAAATAAAAAATTATGAGGATAATAAAAAATCAAATTTTCAATGGCGGCTTTGAATGTCACCACTAAAAGTGAGACTTTTCTTGACGATTATAAAAATTTGTCGTTGATTGTCAACTTTCAACGGCAACTTAAACTTATAACATAAATTTTTAATAAATTATAACACAATTTAAAATATGTTGACAATCAGTGGTAATTTTAAAAAGTTGCTATTGAAGGGTGACTTTCAACAGCAAGATCTTTAGCGGCAACATACACTTGTTGTCGTTAAAAGTCTGACAATATATAATCATTCTTTCAACGCACGACTTCAAATATTACTGCAGAAAGCTAAATTTTTAGTGACAACTTTTATTGTCACTACAAATTGTTTATTCTCAATGGCGACTCTAAAAAAGTCGTCGTTGAAAGTTATTATTATTATTATTATTATTATTATTATTATTATTATTATTATTATTATTATTATTTGTAGTAAAAGAACTCAACATAAGCATACTTATAGCTACTGGTTGATGAAGTTGATGGAGCCCCAGCATCCAAAGAGGAATCTTGATGAAGATAAGCTACTGGAGGCAAGAGGAAGATAAACACCCCACCCCAACTCACTAAACTATTAACCAATGAACACACAAAACAAATATATATATATATATATATCTATATATATATCTATATATATAATGATAAAGAAAGAAGCCTTCTTACACCCTAACATAATATTTAGAGTTAGATATATGAGTTGACTCTGTCTACCTGCAGTGGCAGGGGGAGGGGAGACCAGTAAGGGCCGTGGCCTTTCTAATTTTTTAAAATTTTATTTATATTATATAAGTGTTACACACTTTTTGCCCCCTTAAAATTTATGAAAAGTTTGTAATATATGTTTTTTATTCTTAAGCCCTCGTATTTTTAAATCTTAACTTCGCTCCTGTCTACCTGCTTAATGACAAGTTTAATGGCCATACTAAGTTCCGTAGACATCAACAACAAAATTTCAAGGCAACGTTTAGTAAAAGGAAAAGAATTGAGAAATCACAATTTTAAATGCATTTTTCATTTTCTGTCTAAAAAGTATTTGTCTACCTTACTGGCCCCTAAAATTTACACAAGTTTATATGGAAAACCTACGATCCATTCAACTTGACAGTCTCTCGAGCCACTCAGCGAGAGCTACACAACCAACTTTTGAATTCTAGTATATGATAAAATATCTTAAAGAACAAAAAGTAAAGCAGTTTTAAATCAACATAAGTTGAATCTATCAGAAGAGTTGGAGATAATTTTTCATAATATGATAAATTAATATTTGAATCATTTTTTAAAAGAAATGTTTAAATTTAATGCTCAACAAAACTTCAAACAACATTATTTTTAATAAAAGGATACTTATAAATGACATAAAAAAGAAAAAACAGTTACTACAATCTAACTCAACAAAAACTCAAGTAATTCCTTCCCTATCCTGGCCTTCCTCACCATTAAACTGGATTGATTTAAACCCGTAGCGCCTCTCTGTCAAGAACGAATATAAGAAGCAATTGCACAATTTTCGAAAAAGGACACCTTCTGAAAATAAGGTGTCTTCTCTATAAACAACATCATAATAAGACTTGAACTGGTTATTATTAAGAATAGCATTTTTTTAAAAGTTTATAAACTTCTATTATTAAACCTGAAAAATAAAAAAAAAATCATCCACACGTAATCAAATTTATTAATAAACGAGTAGGGTAATTAGTGTTCGAAAGCTCTATATAACTTCAGGAAATCATAAGATCTTCGAACTGGAATTTCCATCATTTTTTATATCATCATATGTATCAAATATCTATATATATATATAAAAAAAAAAAGTAAACACCATAAAAGACAAAACCAGTGGCAATTGCTTGAGTACCGTCCCGCGCTCCATCATGCGGGCCCCATAGACGACGTGGACGAAACTGTCAACGGGTCCACCATCTAAAGCAAATTTGAACACGTGTCGGTCTGTGACTTGCTCATAAAACTTCTCATAAGTGGACGGACAAAACTTATCCTACCACTCAGCGCCTCAAAAGCGATCCCACAACCAAGCTTACGTCATCATCTCCAGCTCAGTGCGGCTCCTGTAGATTCTTACTTGGGAGAGACAATCACATACGGTAACAGTTTCGAATCAAATCAATCTAAACCGTCGAGTTTACTTCTTTATCAGAAATACATTATTTTCCATATAATCTACGGTCAGAACGTTGAACTTATCTTGTGATCACTGCAGAAGATCGAGACCTGTGAGAGGACCGCTTCAACTGTCGGCTCAGGCTTGGCCACTAATTTCTCTTAAAAGACAAGGCTCCATGATAATGACAGACAACGAAAAGACGAAATCACCCTCGATTGACGGCGTTTAAATGGAATCAAACTAGGGCTGGTTTCGGGATTTCATGAAGGCCATTTTCCAATAAAAGTGTATCCGAATGAATGACCTGACCTGAAAAGATGTGAACTTGTTTTATTTGCCCGCTAGGTCACGCAGTCGTTTTCTGTATTTTGCGAGCCACATGGTGTTCTTAAATATTATTATACTCCTCCAATCTCTTTTTCAATTTACTTTTATTAATTTCATCAATATTAAAATAAAAAAATAAAAATATATAAAATTTTAAAATATATTTTTATATAATAAATTTAAAAAATAATATTATGTTATTTTTATTTTATAAAAAGTAATTTTAAAAAATATTTTTTAAATATTATATAAAAAATCACACCCATAACTTATAAATAAAATTAAATAAGCCTTCTAGAATATACTTTATAGATGGGATTGGAGGGAGTATTTTGCTAAATTTTATGTTAAATAATTTTGATCAATACATTTATTATTATGTCATCATATATAAAAAATAATTTTCTTAGTATTTTTATATTATATATAAGCTTAAATGAAATAATTAAAATGTAAAAATACTTTTGATAAATGCCTATACTAACCCCCACTCTATTTATAAGAAATAGGCGTAAATTTTAAATTTAACAAATTTTCTGGTAAATACACCAGAATGTGATAATAATTAACAAAACAAAAATTTTACATTAAATAATAGTAGTAGAAAATTTTGTTTCAACTTTTTACTGCTATTTTAATTTGTGATTTAAAAAAAACTCAATTTTTTGAACAAGTAAAGAAAGGTATTATTTTTATTTACTTGGAGATTTAACATGCCCTAGTATTTTAGATAACAACCTTGTTTATTACAGAGGATGAAACTTACTGATGAAAACCAGTTTATATAGTCCTTTGTTTGTTTGTTTGTTTGTGGTCACTATGGGAGGATTGAGTTAGCACTTGGCACTAATAAGTACTATTTTAATCCTCATTATTGTTTAATAACGACCCTATTCTGATTTATAAGATAATTTTTTAGGTAATTTACTGCTTCAAAATACAAGTTTGGTAAAAATAAAATTTTATTAATTATACTTGTTTTAAAATTATCCTTTTTATTATATTTTTTTTCTCTCTGTTCACAAATAAAATTATATTAAATAAATAATATTTTAAAAATTTGTATTTTTATTTAAAAAATTATAAAATATATTTAATAAATTTTATCAGTATGTATAATTTATTAAAAAATTATTTTATAAACTAAGAGGAAGAGAGTAGTATTTTAGTTTCAAAATATGAGTTTGTAAGTAAACTAAACTAACTATAAGAACCCTGTCTTTGCTCCCGTATGACAGGCAGACGCATGTGTTCCACTGTTCAGCCAGTACGTTTATTTTGGTAAGTGCCACAGTTGACTTTTCAAGTTTATTATTTTTAAATTTTTAATTTATAAAATTATGTTAATTTATTAATAAACTTAATTAAATTTACGAATTAACTTTTTAATTTTATTATATTTATATTTTTAATTTATAAAATTATATAATTACATTCATAAATTTATTGAGTAAGATAAATGTATACTAACTAAAATTTAGTTCATAAAAGTAATAAACTTGATTTAATAAAAAATAAAAGTTAAAAAAATTAAAATTAATAAAAAAAATATTAAAATAAATTATCCTATTTTAAAATTTTATATTAAATATAATAATTTATATATGGAGGTAAATTTTATTTCAATAATTTATATTTCAAATAGATTCAAATTAAATGATGATCATATTTATATTTTAATAATTTAATTATATATTTTAAAAATTATTTTTTAATAAAATTAAATTTTTATAAATTTTTGATTCGGTATATATTTTAAATTTTGTATTTATAACACTTAAACTCCAAATCTTATTTAAATTACAAAAATGAAAAATATTATGAATAAATCATTTTGTCGTTTTTTGGTAGAATAAATCATTTTGCAGTTATTACGCAATAAATATCTCTTACCCGCATTTGCGTGTGTTTTGCGTCGTCTCTTCTCGTCGTCGTGGTCGTTGTATTCTTCTTCTTCTCTTTCAAAACAGAACCTCATGCTCTTCCCCGCGGAATTCGGATGCTGAGGAATACTCTTGAGCGCTTCCCAGATTCGGTAATTATGTGAAATCCCGTCTGGATTTGTCATAGCCGCGTTTATATTAGGATTTTGACAAAATTTTGCGGAATTCAGTCTTCTTGTTGTCACTTGATTACTCTATATCCTTGATTTTGCTTCTGGATCGTGTTGAAATTTTCATCATACCGCTTTCTCTTTCTGGTTTCACTTGTTCTTTAGTCCACTGCTGCTACTGCTTTTCATTGACTGTAATGGTGTGATGGAGTTTTGGAATTCAGGGGTGCTTTGGAGTTGAGGATTGGTTTATGGATTTAAACTCTATTGTTTTGTAGTTGCAGTGGTCCTAGCTTCAATAATATTTTTCAGGAGTGGTGGAAAATTTTTTAGCGTTTGAATACGAAAGTTTTGCACTTATTTGGATTTTTGTTATCGTTCCAATCAAGTATGATTCTATTTATCATTTTTTGTGCTTGAATTATGAGCATGATGATGAGAATTTGCTGTCTCTGAAGGATTACTGTGGTTCTTCCCTTTTCTCTATACAAATTCCCTATGTTTAACTGTTAAATTTTTAAAGCTAATCTTCCAAGGTAAATGGATGTGTGAAATTGTGATTTCGTTTGTCGGATCCTCCCCATTTTTAAATGGAAGAGGCTAATACACTGCATTCTGCAAAATATTCATTAGTTATTTATATACTTAGGAGCACAGATATTATAAATACGCAGAAATGTTTCTTAATGATAGAAATATGATGTTATTTGATTAATTATTTGATGGTAACAGGTTATACTTAACTCTTGTTAGTTGCATATTCTGTTCTCGATAAGTATGCCCTCCTAGCTTTAGTCTTGAATTGCTTCATGAGCTCAAATTTCATGCTGAAGCAACTTGACATTTCTTTAGCAGGATTTAAGTCGGAGATGACAAAGACTGGAGATTTTATTGAGCGATGATAAAAATGTTGGGGTACTAAAGATGTTCAAGCCTCAACTATCTCATTCAAATTCAAATAAATGATCTAGTTGGGGAGACTCTGGCATTCTGTGGGCTTTTGAAAAGTCGATTTCATTTGGAGCCTTTTCATATTAGTTTATGTTCTGAAAGCACTTTTTTTACTGGAGTTCCATTTTTCGGCGAGGGCATGGGTCATCCTGCTTCAATTAAGATAGCCAAGGTCAGAGGGCTTCTCCGGTTGCTTTACTATTGAACTTATGTTTTACATTCTATTATGGACGCCGGACTGATCTTATATATTCTTTCCTCTTCTCTGCCATTTTCGCATATCCTGCCCACTCTTTTTGCCAATGTGCTTTTCCCCATATGCTTTCAACTTTTCTTGAATATGTATCTCCTTAATTTTTCTGTCAGGATTGATGAAGAAAGAACTCATTAGATCAACATTAATCTTACGAGAGATTTCTTTCCAAGCAATGTTATAAAATATTTTTGGTATCATTGAGGTCATGGGAAATCTCATGGAACTTTATCCGGGATTGTAGTAAATATGGACAGATCAGATACATCAGGCTTTGTGAGTGGTGGATGCTGTATGCTGGAATTTCTTGGCCACCATTGTAGATCTTATAGCTTCGCGTGGTGAAGCTTTTAGTGCCTTTAACCTATTGTAAGGCACGTGACGCAGAATGGATCTAAACCAGAAAGGTATACTGTATTCTCAAGATGCTGAACTCAAGATAAGAGATGACTTCAGTGATGCTACATTATCCTTGAATGGGTTAGGCTTTGGGGAAACCAATACAACTAGCTATAGCAGTAGTAAGAAGAATGCTGGATTAAATTTCTGCAACGCTTCTGATGATGGATGCAGGTTGGTTCTGGGATTGGGCCCACCTCCAAGCACATATCGCAATGAATTCTTCATTCTTGGGTCTAGAAAGAGGAAGGAAAGAGACTGTGTGCTTCCGCAATGTATGCCATCTGATAGTGATTCAATGCTGCAACTTGGTCTTTCTGGAGGAACTTATGAGGCATCAAGTGTTCTGGACAGCTCAGGTTCATCTGAGAATGAGAGTCTTTCAAGCCAAACATCTGCTGAAAATAACTATTCTGCAGTTCCTGTTGTCGATGAGGGTTCCACCTCAGCAAAGAAATCAGGTGGCTACGTGGGTTCACTTCTACTGGCTTCGAGAACAGATACTGCTAAAACTTCATTGCCAACACAAGAATTACCTAATGCTACAAATTGCTCACTTTGCCCTCCTTCATCATCAGAGAACCGAACAAGCAACTTCAGGAGATGTAATTTTCCTGGATGTACAAAAGGAGCTCGAGGTGCTTCTGGATTTTGCATTGGACATGGGGGTGGACAGAGATGTCAGAAGCCGGGCTGTAATAATGGTGCTGAGAGCCGCACAGTTTATTGCAAGGCTCATGGTGGAGGGAGGAGGTGCGAACACTTGGGTTGTACCAAAAGTGCAGAGGGGAAGACAGATTACTGCATAGCACATGGTGGTGGCAGGCGGTGTGAGCATCCAGGTGGGTGCACCAAGGCTGCGAGAGGCAAGTCAGGACTCTGCATTAGACATGGGGGAGGCAAGAGATGTAAGATTGAAGGGTGCACAAGAAGTGCTGAAGGGAAGGCAGGGTTGTGCATCTCTCATGGTGGTGGACGCCGGTGTCAGTACCAAGGATGCACGAAAGGTGCCCAAGGAAGCACCATGTTCTGTAAGGCACATGGTGGCGGAAAGCGTTGCTCATTTGCCGGTATGTATGTTTGACAGATGTTTTTAATCAATTATGACTTATTTAAATATTTATCATTTGTTTAAACTTGCAATAAAAATGACAAAAAACCCCATTTTTTTAATCATTGCTCTAATTTTTTTATTTAACTTTATTCAATCAGTTTTTCAAACATGGTTCATTGAGAAGAAATGCTAAAACGCGCTAAGTTTTTAAATTTTAGGTCATCATCTGCAGACTGTTCCTTGACATTCAAGATTTGACCAAAACTCGCAAGAGAATTGACAGCAACAGAATAATGAATAATGAGTTTGCGAGGGGCTTCCTCACCAAAACTCAATACTTCAAATTTATTTAAGGATCCTGCCCATTGAACATTAATATAGTTGGATCATAATATAGTTAAGGTGATTAGATGATTATGAATTACAATGGCCGCCACTATTTGCAGGTTGCACCAAAGGTGCTGAAGGGAGCACGCCACTATGCAAGGCACATGGAGGAGGCAAACGCTGCCTCTTCAATGGAGGTGGTATATGCCCCAAGAGTGTACATGGAGGTACCAACTTCTGTGTTGCCCATGGTGGTGGGAAGAGGTGTGCCGTGCCTGGCTGCGCCAAGAGTGCCCGTGGCCGAACAGACTGCTGTGTCAGGCACGGTGGGGGTAAACGATGCAAGTTCGAAGGTTGTGAGAAGAGTGCTCAGGGAAGCACAGATTTCTGCAAGGCCCATGGCGGGGGCAAGAGATGTGTTTGGGGTGATGGTAAGTGTGAGAAATTTGCAAGGGGTAAGAGTGGACTCTGTGCTGCTCACGGAAACTTGATGATGCAAGAGAGAGGAAGTCTGATTGATTCCAGACTCTTCCATGGTCTTGTACCTTCTGCTTCCATTGCTCATAGTAGTTCTGATGACAACAATTCCTCCTCAGGGGTCAGTGTTGTTTCTGAGCACAACGATTTAGCAAAAGAACCAGCAAAATTGCAGCATCTTATACCAGAGGAAGTATTGGTGCCGCTCTCCATGAAGTCGTCAATGTTGTCATCATCATCTTCTCTTCCACGCTTCTTGGTTACCAAGAAGCCGGAGGAATGTAGAAACAAGAATATTCTGGAGAAAGACATTAATTTTGATGTCCCAGAAGGGAGGGTTCATGGTGGCGGCCTGATGTTACATCTTGGTGGAAATTTCAAGGAGGCAGCCAACGTAATGTGGAGGAACTCAATTGGCTCAAGCTTGTAGATTCATCTTAGGAAATAGGGACATGTTCATCATGAAATTGTGAATAAGGTTTCTGCTGCTTGTTCAGTATCTTATGTAAGTATGTCGTTGATTGTTTGCTAGGCTTTATTGTTTGTGTTTTGATCTATGGTTCATTCTTGAATAAAATTGTGTGATAAAAAACAGCACAACGTTGAAATACTTGGCTAAACTTATAAACCAGGTTAATTGGCACATTAAAAGGGGCGGTCCCTTTTTGTTAAAGACTGTACCTTAAAATTCTCCATGTTAATATGTATAAATTTCAATTTCTGGAGTCGCTGTAATTCAAGCATCATGGTATTCATTCTTGTTATACATGCACATGTTCTGAGTATCTACGTATTTCTTGTCCAACGATGTATTCTTTTGTACCTTTAATTAACCACCATCTTTGCAACAGTGGGGTGGTGATTGATAAAAGATTCATTGGCTCTTTTGTTGTATAACCCGTCTGCAGTTTTTTTAATTAGTTTTAATATCAGTCTCGTCTCCCATCCAAAAAAAAATTCTTGTATTAACAGCTTGATGGATTGTGTTCTTCAAAGACTAGCGGTACGTTTGCTTCGAGGGAATTCTTGGCTTAGGAATGGGAAAAGCAATGGGACAACCAACACCCATGTTCGCTAATGGAAGGTATAACACTGTAGCTCATGGGAATAGTTATGAAATGTCCAAATTGCCCTTGTGTGTATGATCAAACAAAGTAATATCATTCTCGTTCCATTCTCATTTCTTTATATTTTTGGGAAAACAAAACTATTTGTTTCTATTATTTTAGCATGGTTTGTTATTGGCTTTTGTTTTGTTTTGTTTGTTTTTTTTTTTGGTTGCTTTAGGTCCTTATAATTTTTCATGAGAATACATTAAAATTTTATACAAAAAAATTAATTACTACAAGATCTAACGATAACTAAATTAAGGAAACTGATAACTGATTGTGTTATAAATATTTTTAGTTCAGTTATTAATAGACTTTATAGTAATTAATTTTTTTATATGAAACTTGAATTGAATTCTCCTTAATTTTTCTCATCTGTACTGTTAATCTCTATTTTAAATATGCTTAAAGGGACAATGATATACATTACATTGTTAATTATATTTTTTTAATATTACTTTTATTTAAATTTATTTATATAATATAAATCTAAATTTTTAATTTAAATTAAAATAAAATTGAAATTGAAAGTTTATTTTGATTTCTTAATAATTTAACTAAGTCTTTTAGTAAGATAATTAAAAGTATTTTATAATAAAAATAAGATATATACAAGCATTTTCTCATGTATATAAAAGTAATTTCGACTACATGAACTTCGTAAAGTGCATCTAACTAGCACACATGATCACTTTCAAAAGGGCCAAAACCAAAGAGAGCCGCGTCCCCATTCTCTTTCTCAAAACCTTATCCAATGGCTATCACCTTCTCCTTTCCCTGCTCTAACCTCTCCTTCATCTCTTCTTCTTCCTTCCACAGACGATTCCGATTCAATCCCCAATCCTCCTCACAGCTTTCCTCCACTACCACCCTTCCCCTTCAATCCCCTTCCCTCCCCAAAACTGGTGTCCTCGTCGTCGGCGCTGGTCTTGCCGGCTTAGCCGCCGCCATCCACCTTAATTCTCACAACATTCCTTTCCTTCTCCTTGAAGCCTCCGACGCCGTAGGCGGGCGCGTCCGCACCGACTCAGTTGATGGCTTTCTTCTCGACCGTGGCTTCCAAATCTTCATCACTGCCTACCCTGAAGCCCAGAAACTCCTCGATTATCAAAACCTCGACCTCCGGAAGTTCTATTCAGGAGCTCGGATTTTCTACAATGGCGAATTCCACACCGTCGCTGACCCTCTTCGCCATTTATGGGACTCCGCGCAATCCCTCGCGAACCCTATCGGTTCATTTGTCGACAAACTACTCATTGGCGCCACGAGAGTTCAGGTCTTGACCAAATCAGATGACGAGATATTGACTGCTGAGGAATCTACTACGATTGATTTGTTGAAGCAAATAGGGTTCTCCGATTCCATCATCGGACGATTCTTCCGGCCATTCTTCGGCGGAATCTTTTTTGATAGAGAGCTCGAGACATCGTCCAGGTTGTTCAACTTCATTTTCAAGTGTCTCGCTCTCGGCGACAATACTATTCCGGCCAAGGGCATATCGGCCATACCAGAACAACTTGCGTCGAGGTTGCCTTCAGGTTCAATCCTGTTCAACTCGAAGGTAAATTCAATCGATCTCGATGAGTCCGAATCGCCGACGGTGACATTGCAGAACGGAGAAGTTGTGAGGAGTGAGCTCGGAGTGATTCTGGCGGTTGAAGAACCGGAATCTGTGAAATTGTTGGCGGGAAGGGGCGGTTCGGTTCAGAAGACCCCGGTTCGTAGCACGGCCTGTTTGTATTTCAAAGCAGATCGCGACCAAATACCGGTTCAAGATCCGCTTCTATTCCTGAACGGGTCGGGTAAGGGTATAGTGAACAACATGTTTTTCGCAACCAATGTGGCTCCATCATACGGCCCACCCGAGAGGGCTTTGGTATCCGTATCACTGATCGGGTCGTTTGAGGATGTGTCTGATGATGACTTAACAGCTCAAGTTGTGGAAGAGCTTTCGGATTGGTTTGGGGCGAAAACGGTTAGGGCATGGGAGCACTTGAGAACTTATAGGATCGGGTTCGCCCAGCCCAATCAAAAGCCACCCACAAACCTGAAGAAGAACCCAAAAATCGGGTCGGGTTTATATGTGTGCGGGGATTATGTTATCTCAGCTACGTTCGATGGGGCTTTGGTCTCAGGAAGAAGAGCTGCGGAAGCTTTGTTAAAGGATAAAGCATTGGTTCGAGCGTAAAAGTAATGTATTTTAACTGATAAATATTTTTTTGGTTAAAAAATATAGTATGATTCATATTTTCTTGAGGAGGAATTAAAAACATTAGTAACTAATTTTCAGACGAGTTAAGAATATTTTTATGAAAAATTAATTTTATGTCTCAGTTTTGGCCCAAAAAAAAAAAATTCTCTGGTTATAGTAATTAATGAATTAGTCCATAGTCATTACTCGGTAGCAATCATGATTTGTCAAGTGATCACATTTGTTCCCAATGTTATCAGTTTTGCTTCCAAAGTTCCCAATTAGTACTACAGACGATAAGTTAAGAAGAACATTTTCTGCTGATAAGTTATACAAGAATTAATTCTTGGTCGTGCCATTGCTTGCTCTCATTTAGATTGGCTGTCAGTTTTGCAAATCAAAGATGCTCATGTATCACCCTTCTTGAAATAAATTTGGAGCTGATGAGTGATGAATGGTTTAAGTACATTCACTTGATAAGTGTCTTAAATGATATGATAACAATGGTTCAATTTAATTGAATAATTATAAAAGATTGTTTTATATAATATTAAAAAAGTATTAATTTCAAATTTTTAAAAAAGACAACATACGTGAAGAATGCTTTGATGGTAAGAATTGTTTTAAATTTTTAGAGAACAAATGTGTCTTGATCATTTTTAAGTATTGATAAAATTTAATTATTATAATTAAAATATTTATTAAATTAATGGATTTAGACCACTTACTGAATCTAAATTTATTTTTAGAAATATAAAAAAAGTTAAACCAAGGTTTGCAAGCAAATTTGTGATACGAGTTCTATGTTCTTTATTAAAAAAAAAAATACTGTAAATAGGTAGATCGGGTTATCTCTTTTGTAATTCCCAAAGTTACTCGATAGGAGAATTTTTGTGTTCCTTGCCCCAAGAGGGGCTACGAAAAGAGTGGAGGCTTGATGTAAAATTATTAGTAAGACCTAATATATATAATTGTCCCTTTCGATAATAAAATATGGTAAAAAAGCAAAGTAATTTCAAACTATGAGTTAGGGGTGTCTGAAATTTTAAATTTATTTTTGATATAATATTTTTTTTAATTTTTGAAAATAACTTCAAAAATTATAAAAAATAACCAAAATAATAACAGTAAAGGATCAAAAGATAATGTAGGAAATGACCAAAAAAATTTTAGTGGTCATCTTTTGTAATTTTAAAAATTATTTTCCATCTTTTTTAAATTAATTAACAGTCAAAATTAATTTTTATTAATGGTGGGGGTCAAATTGTACTGTTTTTAAAAATTCAAAAAGAACATTGCACTCCAAATGAGTTTAGGTCCTAAATGTTTCTAGACCTATAGTTTAGGAGTTAATTATTTCTTTATCCAACAAAATATCTACCTAGGTATAATTTTAAACATTTTGTGTTATAGAATTAAATATTAAAATTTTGAAATCAAGTACTCTTAGTAAAAAGTTAAATTTTTTTCATAAAAAAAAAAGCCAAATTAATTTAAGAGAGAGAGAGAGAGAGAGAGAGAGAGAGAGATGAAACTTGGTTGAGTACAAGGTATGCCTAACAGATGGCTCTAAATTATGCGAAATGATGCACAATCTCATGACATAAGAAGCTCACCAGTCATGATATGCTTTTCTTATTGCATGTGTTTAATAATTTGCTATTTTAGTATCATGTGAGCCTTAAAAAAATTATTAGTAGTTTTTTTTTTCTTTTTATTTACACCTTTGTTAACCTTGACAATAATAAGGGAATTAGATATAAACATTATGCTTGTGTATACAATTATGTTAAATGCTTGAAAGAATCACGCTTACGTGAGTTTTCAAAATAACGAGAAAATCTATATGATTAAAGTATAATAGAAAGGTAATTAATATAGGGGAAACTTGGACACTTTTAGGGGAAACGAGATGAGAGAGGAAAAGAGAGAGCGTCTGGAGATTAACAGAGGTAACGATTACGAGGGTAAGGGTGGTGACCCTGGATATGGAATCAATGAAGGAAGGAGTAACTTTGTTTTTTCCAATATGACCACTAATAGATATCGTAAGGGTGGGAAGGAGGATAAGGTGGTTTGAAGGCTTGGACTCTAGAAAGAAGATATCCTATAACGATTTTTTGTTGAGTCTGAATTCTGCAAGTTTTTTTTCTCCTAATGATGAGTTCGACGATATTATGGATGGTTGGAAGAGCTACCTTGAAAACTTAAGGGCGCAGGAGGCTGTTAAGAGGGCAAAAGGAAAAATGACTGAGGAAGAATTGGAGGAAGAGGATTTGTCCGATGATTAGAGGCCCATGAAAATCCCAGAGTTGAAGATTCTTGAACAAGCATATCTTGACTAGTGCAAGCCCTAATTAAACTTTCTTATTGTGAAATTATTGGGACAAAATATCCCATTAAGGTTTTCGAGGAACAGGTTAACAAGAATGTGGCAGATTAAGGAGCCTATGTGAATTACAGCATTGAGTAATACATACTTTATCATCTCCTTTTCTAATAAGGATGATCTTGATCATGCTTACCAAGAGGGGCCATGGATGATAGATGATCACCATCTTCTTGTGCAAAAATTGAGACCTAATTTTAATCCCTAAAAAGCAGAAACACAAAGAAGGATAGCTGCTTAGTTCGTGTCTTGGATTTTCTTGTTGAATTATATAATATAGAATTTTTTAAGAATGATAGGGGATAAGGTTGGTACTACTTTAAAAGTTGATTGGTCTAGTTTTATATCTGATAAGGTTGCCTTTGCTAAAATATGTGTTGAACTCGACTTAAGCAAACCTCTCATGCCTATCTTCACTGTGTATGGGGAAGAGTATAAAATCACTTATGAAGGTCTTCATCTCATCTACTTCCACTGTGGCTGATTTGGGCATGATTTGAATGCTTGTCCTGATCGAGCATAGGGATATGAATAAGGAAAAGAAATGAATGACAGTTTAGATGAAGAGAAATAGTAGATGGTTGTGTCTACTGATAAGATACAATCAAGGGATGGTCAAAGAGTAGAGGAGATCACGTTAGAAAAGCCAAAAGAGTTTGATGAAACTCATACAATGGACTAGGACTGTGGAGGTACGCCGGTGATGTTAACTGGCAGAAAATACAGGCTTGATATGATCGTTAAACAAGATTTTTGCAAGAGAATGCAAAAATTAGAGCCTAAGAGAGCTGCATGTGTTTTGAATAAGGGGAAGGAGATGGAAAAGCCTATGGTTGTACCAATAAAATTGAGATTTAAAGAGTAGGGAAGTAAAGCATTTAATGGTTACACTAATATGTATGGAAAGAAATTTGAGGAGCAGCATCAGTTTGGGAGGGAGATCTTGAATAAAAAATCAAAGTGGACCGCAATAAGAGGAAAGAGAAAAGCTCCTTTGAACGTCAAAGGAAAAAAGAAAGAGAATATTGCACTTAAAGCATACCAAAATAGGTCAGATTTTATAAACCCAAATTCATTTGATGCTTTTACAATTAATGGTGAGGGCATGTTTGGTGGTGAAACTCCTCAAATAGATAATAGGCCAAATTGCTTGGACTTGATGGCTAATCAGCATGTGAATGAACTGGGCTAGGATGTAAAGGGGTGTCACTCATGAATTAGCTACCAAATAGTGTTGGATTACTTTATCAAGAGCTGGATGCTGTGATTAAAATGGACATCACTTTATATGCAGGTATTGACTTGAACTTGCAAGTCCATTTCTTAATATGTTTTTTTTTATCAATTTTATGACTTGGAATTCCAGAGGTACTGGGTTGCATTCTTTTCCATGCCTTATTTTTAATTGAAGTGTAGATATAAGGTGGGGATTTTGGCAATAGTGGAGACTAGAGCTAGCGGTCCTAATGCTTTTAGTATTGCTAAGTCTTTAGGTTTCCATAATATTCACATTGTTGATGCAAGAGGATATAGTGGAGATCTTTGGCTTTTATGGGATGATTTAGACTAGAAAATTGAGATTTTTAGTAGTCAGGCTCAACGTATTCATTTGAAGGTCAAGAAAAATGATACAAGCTGGTATGGCACAGCTGTGTATGCTAGCCCAAATACTATTAACAAAAATCTTCTTTGGAACAAACTTAAACGTATTAACATGAATATTGATGGTCTCTAGTTCATAGGAGAGGATTTTAATTGTATTTTGTCTAGTCTTGAAAGAAAATCCTTATCTTGACATTATGCTATTGCTGATCGAAATTTTTGCTTGTTGGTTGATGAATTAGAGTTAATAGATATAGAGTGTAAAGGGTCGTTGTTTACCTGGCATAAAGCTGGGTGTGAGAGTAAACTTGATTGTATGCTCATGAATGAGGAAGGTAGATATAATTTTCCTAATGCATCAGTTGTTAGTTTACCTTATTTTAAATCTGATCACAAGCTTATTATTCTGAAGTTGTATGAACATGCTATCCCATGTTCTTTGTAACATCTATGAAAATTTAATATTGGTTTATTAACCTAATGAGGGTAATTAGTGAGTTAATAAGGTCTGTGGCTAAAGGGGTTTAATTGGTATGATTGTGGTGATTTCAACTTGAGAAGTAGGTCCGAATCGATGGCTGGTCACCTGGACAAGGAAAGAGAAAGAAAAAGTGAAGATTTGCTCTGTATGTCAAATGCCGCAACACTTGGTCAATCTGCCTCGGCGTACAGAGGCAGATTTGAATGCAATGGGCTCTTATGTGCCACGGGCCATGGCAGAGGGTTACGTGAGCCGTGGCGTATAGGTAAAATTTTTAATAAATTAGTTCGCGTTCTGCATGAAAACAGAAGAGAAGGAGAAGAAGAAAATGAAGAGCTCTACTTTTACTCTATTAGGGCACGTTATGAGATCACATTGAGGCTAGATTTAAGCTTCCAAACACTTAAGGTAAGTTTATTGATAAGTGCATATTTTATAATTAAATAGGTATAGATTTTAGTTTGAATTTGATTTTATTTATTATGATTTCATATCTATTTAATTGATATTTATATATTTTTTCCTCATCACTTAATTATAAGATAAAAAAGAATTTTAATACAAAATCTACTCATATCTTTTTATCTTTATATTTTACAGAGAAAAAGAATTAACCAAATAGAATGAAAGAAGGAAAATAGAATATATATATATATATATATATATATTAGAGTCCCACATCGACAAGGAAAAAAGAATGAGCCGCCACTTTAACTATAAATACTCTTCCATCAAGAGAGAAGGCATGCAATCATTTATCTAAGTACCTCAAAAATTTTCTCTAAGATATTTAGAGCTTGTAGAAGTATTCTGAAGGCTGAAGGTGAGATCATTGAGGAGTTTCACAAATTATAATTATTTCTTTTCTACTTCTTAATTTCCTCTATAATCATTTTTCATGATTGAAAATTTTAGAACTGTATTATTTGATTTTATTATGTGTTTTTAAATTACGTAGTTGGGATAAGGATGTAGCCCGATTGAGGAGCTAGTTTTCTATTTTCTTTG